GCCCACATATGCCAAATAATAACAATACCAGACAGTCTTAAAGGCTTGAAAGTAAACAAGCGGCCATCTAGCCCTACCATAAGTATTTTTAAGGACATGCGATTGATCTCTCCTGAAGACAGGTACAAAGTATTCAAGTTGACATTTCACTGAGAAAACAAATGAAAAATGGAAAATTATAAAATAGGAGCAAATAAATGACCAATTCTAAGATTTCAGAGGTAGAAAATGTATTGAAAAAAGCAAAAAATTAAAAATAAATCAATAGAAGACCAAATTAATTAGGGTGAAGAAAATTCTCAGGATAAATGTGCCTGAGGAACAATCAGAAGCAGTACCCCTCCCCCCAAAAAAATCAAAAGAAAGTTTAAGAAATATGTAGAACACCACTTAAGAGGAACACATATACCTTTGATTTAAATTCCAGAATATAACTTTTTTTTAAGCACACGGAAAATTTTAGAAGAGATGTAGGGGGGTGGGGAGGAGGGGAGTCAAGATGGTGCTCAGGACCCCAGGAACTCACCTGCAGTCTACCTGTAGCAGGTTAGGTAACCTGAGATTGGGGGGACCCCTCCCCCACAGCATCATTCCCACCACGTTTCCCCACCCATGCCCCAGCCAGCACTCCCACTACCTGCTTGCTCCCACTGCACCACTCCTGCATGCTCCCCTGCCAGAGCCTGTGCTGCTCCCACATGCTCCTGTGTGCTCCCACTGGTGCCAGTCAGTGCCACTACCGCTGGTTTCACCTGTGACAGCCTGAGTCCTCCTTGCTCCTGCCTACACTGGCTCAGCACTTTCCTAGTGTCCCAGGCCCATGGGGAGCAAGGAGGAGTGCATCCTCAGTTTGAAGAGCATACATTCCCCACACTTAGCCTGGCTCAGGAGCCCAGGGGATAAGAGACCCAGGTCCAAGGGTTTCCCAACCGGTGCTGGCCACACTGTTTCAGACCCCAATGTGGCCAATGCCTGCTGATTGGCCCTCTTACTGTTGAACATGGGGCTCCTCCACTCCCATCAGCCACAGCAGCAGTGGCCTGTCCCACGTCATCACAATGCTGCCCACCCGCAGATGTGACAGCTTCCCTCACCAGTGCCAGGAACCTACACACTGCAGAGGCTCTCCCTCGGCACCCGCACCAGGACAGTGGGGCTATTTTTGCCCTCGATCAGCACCCCCTCATGTGGCAGTGAGGCTTCCCCCACATTTGCCTTCTATTAGGCATCATTGAAAAAAACAAATAAAAATTAAAAATTAAATAAGAAAAAAGGCTGCTAATTGTGGCCTGACAGACCAGTTCAAAGCAGTCCATGGGGCATATATATAGGCTCCAGCCCCACTCCAGTCACTGAAACTCCTCACCACTGTTGGCCACTGAATCACCATGAAACACTGCCTATATGGCATTCTGACCCACTTCGATAGTGGGCCACAGGCTGGCCCCCAAAGCACCCTTATAAGTAATACAGAGAAATGGCTCAGGGCCCCCTTATCTCCCAGAAAAATGGTGCCATTTCTGGTATCCCAGTAAAATGGTGAATCAGCAAACCTCATCACTCTCAACAACAACAAAAAAAATCAGAGAGACAAAACACAGTAGCAGAGTTAATGATGCTCATTGAAGAATCAGACGTGGATCTGCTACAAAAAGAAATCTTCAGAAGGCTGTTTGGAGTAATACAGGAGTTGAGGGAAGCAACACAGAATACGAATGCAATGACAGAGCAGATGAAGTCCACAATTGAGGGGATGAACTCCATTATAGAGGGGATGAAATCCATGCACCAAAGGGAAATACAGGTGCTAACCGATGAGGTATCAGAAGCTACACACAAGCTCACATAATTTACGGTTAGATTAGAGGAGGCAGAGAACCATATCAGTGTTCTCGAAGACCCTCAGGCAAACCCCAGTAAATGAGAGACAGTCAAACAGGATAATAAAAGAGGCAGAAGATAGCCTGAGATCAATGACTGATGCTTTGAAGAGGAACAATATTCGAAAACTTGGTCTACCAGAGCAGGACACTACAAACAAGTCTACAGCTAAAAGAGTGAAGGAATTAGTGGAAGCAAATTTCCTCACCTTAATGAATGAGAATCAAACACTCATACAGGAAGCAAAGAGGACACCAACTAGACTAAACCCCAAGAAGAACTCACCAAGGCATATAATAAAAATATCCAACTTTAAGAAAAAAGAAAATTTTAAGTGCAGCAATGGAAAGGAAGATAGTCACATACAAGGGAGCTCAGGTAGGAATATGCTGAGACCTATCAGCATAAACCATGAAGAGGAGGAGAGAGTGGGGCAACATCTTCCAAAACTTAAAGAAAAAAAACACCTGCCCAAGAATCCTCTACCCTGCCAAATTATCCATTAAGCTAGATGGGGAGATAAGGGTCTTCCAGGATGAAGAAAAACTCAAAGAATATGTTGCAAGACACCCAACCCTGTGGAAGATATTGGCCAACTCACCATGGTCAGAGGACCAACATCCACCAAACATAAGCAGGAGACCACCATATAGTCCAGCTCCATCCAGAAGCCAACATGGTGACAATTACCAAGATAACAGGGCCTCAGAGGGAAAAGAAGACAAGAAGGAAGCCTCACATACAAACACAGCACACTGAAGTGAAGGGAAATAGGAAAACACCAAAAACACAAGGCACTAGATGACAGCAATGAATCCACAGATTATGATAATAACTATGAATTCCAATGGCCTTAATTCATACATTACCAGAAAAATGCTAGAAGACTGGCTCAGAAAATGTAACCCAACAATCTGTTGTCTGCAGGAGACACATCTTAAGTGCAGACACAAATACACTAAGAATAAAAGGCTGGTGGAAAGTATACCAGGAAAATAGTAACTTTTAAAAAAGGGGGTGGCAATCCTAATCTCTGACCAAATTGACCTCAACGTTCAAACCATAAAAAGAGACAAGGAGGGGCACTATATAATATTCAAAGGATCAGTAAACCAGGAACTAGCAAACATATTGAATATTTACTCTCCTAACAATGGATCCACAAAATGTATCAAACAAACTATTCAAAAGATGAAAAAGAAATCACAGATTCAACAATCATAGTAGGTGACTTTAATACACTGATATCAGAGAAAGATATATTACTGGAAAAGAAGCTCAGCAAGGAGGCTATACAGTTAAACAACATGATTAGGTACTGGACTTGATAGACAAAATTAATAGAGCTTTCCATCCAAACGCAAAAAAATTCATTCTTTTAAAGTCCACATGGCTCATTCAAGAATAGACCACATGCTGGGACACAAGTCAAGCATGAGTAAATTCAAACACCTAGATTATTCAGCTGTCTTTCTTGGATCACCACGCAATAAAGCTGGAGATTAATAAAAGGATGACCAGAAGGGCAAACAATTGGAGGAAGAATAATGATCTTAAACAACATGAATGGGTGCTGACCCAGATTAGAGAGGTTAGGACATTTCTAAAAACTAATGCAAATGAGAATGCAGTGTATCAAAACTTATGGGCTACTGCAAAGGCAGTTATCAGAGGTAGCTTGATATCAATAAATGCATATATGAAAAAAAGAAGAGAGGCTTATGACTGATATGTTTTCTTAAAACCTCCAGGAACTAGAACAGAGTAAACAGAACAGCCCCTCCAATAACAAAAGAAAAGAAATATTAAAAA